AGTAGAAGGGGGCGGGGGTCTCTGCTCGTCCTACCGTGTTTGGCTGCGCTATGAAGTGTGCGGTGTCTCGCGGCAGCGGTTTTGGATGGCGGAATTCGCCGATGGCTTTTCGGAAGGCTTCATGGTAGCAAGTGGTGACTTCACCTCTTGTTCGTGCAGGCGACGAGTGGTATAGTTTCGGGAGGCTCTGGTATGCTCTAGCAATGCCTAGATCCGGTGGGGATGGTAGGCCCTTAATGCGGTGGTGACTGGGACTTCTTTCGGTGGTGTTGGCGAGTTTCCAAGAGAAAGCTCGGGTTTTTGGCGCCGATGGCGGTGGCGCCAGTGGGTGTTGCTTGATTCCTGTAGAGGTCGTCAAGGGTCTTGTCCTTGTATGAGGGATCCAGGTGAAAACCTCTATCTGGTCGGACTCGACGGCGGCGATGCTTTGCGCCATTGAGGGTGTTGTTCTGGAGCTCAGGAGTCTTCGGTCAGGCCGCAGAGAGGTGTTAGGCTTGTTTCAGGTCTATCTTGTATCTCGCAACCTTCTTTGTAAGGGGTTAACCCATCATATCATATCGTCCAGCCGTGTTGTGTTCCTTTATTTATAAAGCGGAGGGAAAGCATGTTTTGAGTCATCCACATAATGGCACAGACCTGGTATTTTCTCCCTCCCTTTATTCAATAATATGGGATCGACGGGCGAGCTCCCGCTGCCCCCTGGTACACCATCGGATGGGTGGATCCCGCAGTCAAGTCCGGCGACCTGGTGAACCCAAGTCCGGCTCAGAGAAAACCGATCAACTGGTTTACTGGCGACGAACCGAACCCCAAGTTGAACTTAGCCCGGATGAAACATTAGAAGTTAAAGAAAATCAAGGTAAGTTTGTTCAACCAAAATTCAAGATACTAAATTATTGAAAAGCAAAATGGTCTTAGTAAGTACTTCAGCTGTAGACTTTTATAAGACTAGATCTAAAAACGAAAATTGCTTTTGGAGGCGGAGCTCCATGGAGCCTCCATTTGCATTTTTCAAATTTCATATGACCAAGTTTCAAAAAAATCTGAAAAAAATACAGATATACATGAAGGCATAACACACATGTGTGCAAATTTTCAGAACAACATACGTTGAAATGGTGGCTATGCAAAAAAAAATCTAGGGCTGTTTACACAAGATACCATTCATCATCAAAGCCCATGAATTTGTTTTTTTAGAGGTAAAATTTCAAAGTATTTCAATCTGAATTTGTACACAAATAAACATCACATCGTTGTTTACTTGTACACTTTTTTTCAGACTTTTTTCAAACCAAAAAGTTCAAACTTTAAAATTTTCAAACATTTCGGCCTCTGTGGAGGCCGGGCTCCAAAACGCCACGCCCACCTAAAAAGCCTTATAAAGTTGCAGTCTCTTTTTTTTCCAAAAAAAACATAGACTCTGCAACTTCAAATGCTTATTGGATGCTCACCCGCTGCCTGTTGGACTCTTTTCTCAGCAATCAACGGAACTATTCCCACAAAACTGGAGTACTGTTACAAGTACTACTACCTCTCCATAAACCAATCAATTCAACATATACCCGACTTTGACGTTCGAAAAGATCAGCACAGAATCAGATAAAATCAAGGACCCGAACTGACCGGACCTGACCTAACAGCCAGAGCGTTAGACGCACACACCAATCTGTCAATCCATGGGATCTCTCGCTGATCTGCACGTTTTCTCCGATTTAGTCCAGCTCCGTTCCACCCACAGTTACATGTCACGTCGACGATGACACGCCAATTGCAGCAACAGTTTTGCATCACTGGTTCGCCGGATGGATCCGGCCCCGCGGTCAAGTCCGGCGAGCCTGGCGAGCCCGGACCAAGACAGCCAAGTGGCCACGCCCACGTTTCCCTCATGAACAGAACCGCCAGCGGGTGGCCGGCGTCTCCCGGCGGGCCATTTTCGGATGATCGATGCCCTGTCTGTCCATGCCGACCGTCCCGTCGCCTGGCCCCGCGGTATCACACGCACCTGATGGCTCGACCCCCTCTGGCCTATCGACCTCCTCCCTTTCATGATCGAGACTTTGATTCCGCCCGAGATCTGGATGTCGACTAGACACATGGATCGTGGAACAGCGATTGCATTGGCATTTGCATAGTAGCTACACACATGCATGTACGATTGATCGGTCGTGTGGAGATGCTCGTGACTTGCAACGAAGGTCGCCGGCGTCTTCCATTTTGGACCACCGAGAGAGGAAAACCAACCATGTGTTCTCGGTTTTCTCTCTTCTCCAGCCACGTAATCTACTTGAGCTTGCCGCCGAGAAAAACCGGACACCTACATACGCTGCCGTCGGCACCCTACCCCCACCCAAACCATCAATATGTGCCATTAGCCGCATGCCACAAAACTATCCACCTGCCAAACCTCCGGTGCATCGTCGCGTACCCCGTACCGCCCCCACCCGGCCGCATCGCTCGGGCACACCCCACCCACACTTTCCTCACCCCTCCCCTCATCACTTCCCTGCACCGCATCCCTACTACGGTGAGCATCTCGGGTCGCTCAGATCCGGCGAAGGCCGGGGCGTCGTCGGACCCTCCGTTGACGTGAGGCACCGATGTTGGCCGTGCTCGTCCCGACGATGGCACCTACGTTCTGTCGATGTCTGTGTTGATCAATGCTGACGAGCCCAGAGCGGGTCGCGCCACTACCCCTCCCTTTGATCTGTAGCACTGTCGGTGACATCGAGGTGAGAGCCGCTGCCCCTCGACTCGACCAGCGAGGCCCCAGCTGGCGACAGGAACCCGCCGGAGTCGCCCTCACCTCCCCTTGTGTCTACTTCATCGACGAACCCACCGGCCACCGCCATTCGTGTGCAGTGCACTTTCTGGTTTTGGACACAAGGAAATAGCTTCCGCGTGGCCAGTTTTCTGCTCAAATCTAGGTTTGTATCGAATGTTAAATACCGGCAAACTTAAGGGATGGAAAAACAAATTACTCGAGATGAGGTGTAGTCCCACAATAAACCGGGTACCTTTTGGCAGACTACCTTGAGAGCATGACGCCGGAATCAAGCAGCATCAAACTAGAGAATCGGCTGTACCCCGTACATACGTACGTACATACAGCATCGATCGACCAATGACACGCAGATACGGTACTACGTAGGAAGCAGTACGCTACGTACGCGAGGCGCGACACCCGCCGTGCGCTCCACGGAGCACGTACGTGCCGCGCTCATAACTCGGGTCCGGCCCGGCCACGGGCATCAGTCAGTCCGTGCGATTGATCTTCTCCGACTTTTCCTTCCTTCTTCCCCGAAGATCACACCGGGCCAGTACTGCCCACTCTAATGCTAGTGGTCATGAGTTCATACAGTTCCAATCGGAACTTTATGACTCTGCTTCCCGTAGAGATCTCGACATTTCTCCGCTAGCTGTTTAATGCCCGAGCAGGAGTTACTGCTGCCTTTTACCCGCCGCCGGTGCCCTATCTCTGAATCCCAACAGTTTAAGCCATGCCGTTTCACTCCCAAAACAGTGTTCAGATCTAATCACTTCAACATTTTTTACTCGCCAGGTGAAACGTGCGTTTACCAGTGATAAACAAATGTAGATGTATTTGTGATTAGTAGTATTACTCTAGTAAACAATGTGAAGTCAAGGGTTCAAGGCCAGAAGTGCTCACCCAGCTGCACAGGGTCTCAGTGGACTTTTCTTCTTCTTCCAAACCAAGGGAACCACTATTCCAACAAAACAACCGCAGCAACTACTTGTCCACAACTCAAATCAAAGATAACACACACACATACATATCCGACTTTGACATTCCACGAGACAAGACACAGAATCGGATAAAATCAGGACCCAACCTAAATAACAAAACACACAGCTGCAGCACCGATCCACCATATCTTCCCCCTGATCCGCATGTTTATTCCCAGTTTAATCCATCCATCCGTCCGGGCAGCCGGACACATGGTGGCCACATACAGCGCTCCCACGCCACACCTCACATCGCCTTGTGCGGAAGCAGAATCTGGCGCCAGGTAAGCAGATCTCCGGGGAGATCCTTCCACAGTGCCCCCATTCATTACTACCATATATGCTCCCGGCCTTTGGACTTTTTCAGTTTTTTATACGCCGCGTACAACAACAGCTCACCTAAGACAACCCGGAGCCGTTTGTATATGTACAACTACGAGATACGCACGTACGATCGAGATTGTGTGTCTCCTATTATACTGCCTCGTCGACATCATCAATAGCATCAGGGCAAGCAATTGTTAAGAATCAATCATGGAAAATGTATCGCGTGGCAAGACAAAGCATGATTAGGGGCAGGCAGACACATATGTGAACAGCCGTGAGCATGTGGAGATTGATTAAGGAGATGGGAACCAGACGGTGATGGTTAATTGTTGCAAAAGATTGGCTCTGGTTATGAAACTGTCAACATGTTGCTCTGATCTGATGCCATTTCGACATGTAGCCAAGAGGGGAAACATATCTGAACAAGATTCATCCAGAAGATTTCCTTTCTCTTGGCCGAATGAATACTCTGTTTGATTTTGGTTCTTCTTGGCATCTCTGAAGAAGCAGAGCACGCAAGGGGACGAACTAACATCCTAATCTAATCATCATCATCATCTACTAGGTCCCCAAAAAGTTAAGCTGTTGTTTGAGGCGGCAGCGGCAGCGGCAGCGGGCGGATCTATGTCCATGGGAAAGAACACCGAAGAAAAAAGAATTGGAAAATCCTGCTCTACTTAAGAATTAATCCTCCTCCTCCGTCGAGGCTTCCGGTGGCTGATCACCGGATGCGGTTGCAGAGGCGGGAGACGTCGGAGGGGCGGACGGGCTTGAGGAGGAAGTCCTCGGCGCCCTCCTCGAGGCAGCGGGTGATGCGGTTGGGCACGTTCTCCGACGACATGATCACCACGGGGATCTCCCGGAGCTCCGACGACTCCTTGACGCGCTTCAGCAGCTCGTACCCGGTCATGCCGGGCATCCAATAGTCGGTGATGATCATGTTCACGTCCGTGATGAGCCCCAGGCCCAGCAGCTCCAGCGCCCGCGTCGCTGAGTCCACGGTGGTCACTGCAGCACAGAAGAAAGGCAGGTTAGAACATATACAACGAGGATGGATCGAGCGGCCGTCCAATTTCTTGAAGAATCGCCGGAGCGCGGCTTGATTGGATTGGGACTGATTCGATTTCTCACCTCTGTATTTTGAGCTGCGGAGGATCTTGGCGATGACGGCGCGGTCGACGACGCTGTCGTCGACGGCGAGCACGTGCAGCTCGGCCTGGACCTGGACCTGGACGACGACCTCGTCGGCGTCGGTCATCAGCGGCACCACCTTGCGGTCGCCGGCGGGGGCGGGCGCCACCTTGGCGGCCATGGCGGCCGGCAGGGTCATGGCCGGAGCCTGGGTGGGAGCAGCCGCAGCCATCAGTCGATCAAACTCGCCGGAGCAGCAGGAGTAGTAGTATGTAACGGCGAAGAACTCGTCTGAAGGATGGATGTGTTGATGCGGTGTTGGTTGGGTTGGCCGCGACGCGCGGCGGTATATATACAGGGCCGGGGGGAGGCGGAAAATAAATGCGGGGGAAATCCTGCGAGATCTCGAAAGGGATCCTAGGCTCGCGGATCGAGCGAAACCCAGCCCCCCCGGTGGGGCCCCGGCCCGATCCGGCCGCGGATCCGCGGGCCCCGCGGCCCAGCCCGGGAGATCCCCGCCGGGATTTTCCTGCCGAGCCCCTCGCTTTCGCTCCGCCCGTCGTCGTCACTCGTATGCCCCGCGCTCACGCACACCGTATGCTCTCTGCGTATCTTCTCTTCTCCCCCCTTTTTCTTTTCTCTTCTCTTGGACAAGTCGCAAGTGGGGAGGAGATGGGATTTGCGTGCATGGGGCACGCACAACCTGCATCACTTTTTTTTTAGTTTTTCTTTCTGGGCCGGCTGGCTGGGATTTTATTTGGTCTTTCCGGGCGGCAGCAGGTGATCCGTACCGGGCGGGCTCGAGGATTTGCTTGAAAATTCGATCTTCTTGGGTGAGCGGCGGCAGGATACGGATTGATTTCGGAGATTCACCAGTGATTCGTGAGATCATCGGGCGGTTTGGTTTGATTTCCTTCCGTGCGTGGAAGGGTCACTTGCCCCTTCGATTCCCACCCTCCTCTTGCATCACAGCTGCTGGTGATCCATCTCACCTCACACGCGATCTCTTCCTTCCTTCCTTCCTTTCACTCCCAGCCCAGCCCACGTACGTGACGCACCATCAACGTCGTGCCGTGCGTGCATGGCAGGATCCCCGGATTTCATTCGGATCGGTCGGCCTCCGCGCCGCGATCGCTCGGGCGGTACGGGCCATGTACGCACGCCGGGCGCCACCGACCGGTCGCTCGTCATTGCCGTATCGCGTCGCGTGATCTTCCTTCCAACACAGGCGGGACGGACGGAAGGGGACCAACAAGGGCAGGCGAGCGACCCGGCCCGTACGCGTCCACGCGTCCCATGATACGCTGCAGAGATCGGGCGCGCGGATCGACTCACGACGACATCGACCGGACGGACGGACGGACGGACGTCGGTGGCGTGGCGTCTGACTAGAGTGCCACTCTCTCGTACGGCTCCTAGGCAGCGGCGGTTGATGGTAGGGGTTCAGAGCGAGTGAATGTCCATGGCAGAGTACGTACCGCCGGATCTGGATTGCGGATGCTGCTGTACTGGAAAAGGTGATCGCAGAATCGGTTGCGGCAGGCCGTGCGTCTGCGCTGGGATATGAATGAATGCTCGTGACGTAGTACGTACCGGATACAGGAACCTTCCTCGCTACGCGAAATCGTGATCGATCGCGGCCAGCTAGCTGCATCCTGCGTTCGTGGACGCAGATCTTTCTGTTTTCCGCAAGAGGAAACGTAGGCACGATTTCGGCGACGATCTGATCAACCGGTGGACTACCTTTCTGGTGCGTGTTGCTTTTGTGAGATCGTAGTACTTTCATCGGTTCGACTGATTCTATCTTTGTCATGGAGCAAACGCCAAGAGTTTTAGCTATTGCTTTAGTACTAGTGCTTTCTCCGTCTCACATTAAAATGAATGTACCTAACCGTACTTCATTTCACTAAAATTTGGTGTACTAGAGAAACGAGCAAGAGTGCAAGACAAAAAGTTACCATATCTTCCCTGCAAGACTATATTTCCGACTACGTTCATCAAGTCAGAGAGGGCGGCGTAATGCCTTCCTACATGCGAATTTTGTACCCGTAGGACAAATTACACACTGCAGCAAAAAAATGAAGGCGATGATACTTACCTAGAATAAGGAACAGACCAGTGAACTCTCTTTCTTTTTCTTTGCTAATGCATAGTCGAGGACGTGGGGTGGGCATAGCCCAGTGGTTGGGGGCGCATGATTGTAAACCCAACGACCAGAGTTCAATCCACGTCGGGGACGAATTTCTGGAATTCTCATGAGGGATGCTTCTTCTATATCAATAAACCGTGGGTGCTAGTGCCCATGGAGTTTCATTTTTTTTTGCTAATGCATAGTCCTCGGATAAAATACCATAAGCGACAATGCTAAACATGATAGAAATAAAATTACTTTTTATCAAATATCACATATAATGCCTATAAATACTTTGTGTACCGTGTTTCTAGACCGGAGATATAATTATTGTATTCACTTTGATAGGACACCATATAATTTAGTGGGAATTTAAACCATCCAAAGCACAATCCATTCTATTAACTAAGTGGCATTTAATTCTAGCACATCTAATTTCTCAACATCGCAGGAACCTGGAGAAAATTACATATTTCGGTACATATGAGTAGGAAAAGGGAGTGTTGCCATATTAGTGCTATGTAACCTTCACGATTTGAAAAGATATATTGCGCAAAAAACCTAATGAGCGCCCATTTTAATAAATGTGAATGGAAGAGAAAATGTTTGAAAGTCTCTTACTTGCGCGAAGTCACTACAATTTGAGCGTCCTCGTGTACATAGTCGATCGACAAGTCGGTAACAAAAGCAGACTGCATTTCTAACTAACAAATTAGTTCTCCGATGAGATAAATATTACTCAACCTGTAGGAATGTAGTGTTTTTATGAGAAAACATGTTTTTTCACATATTGAACATTGGATCTATAGTTCTATGTGCCGGCTAAGATTTAACTATTTCTCAGGTGGCTAGCAATTAAATAGCTTTATTACTTCATGATGTCTTTTTATATTTGAAAATAAAAATAAAAAAACTTATTTTTTTTTCATTATCGTTTTAGGGGTTTGGTTTAAAATTGGATACCTTTGAATTTCTTAGATAAAGTACATTTCATTCAATTGATATATCAAGGTGATACAGGTGCATTGAAGGAATGTTCGGCCTCTATGTAGCACAATGCAACACGTCCAACACAACGAAAAATAAAACATCATTTAAAACCAATAATAAAACAGTCCTTCCTAAGATGGGATAGATCATATTCGAACATTACAACCCCTCCATGAAAGGAGATGTGGTAGATTCTATCCGAAGATTACAGCGACATCCATGAAGGGAGAAAATCTTCATGGGGGTAAAGATTTGAAGGTACTTGAACCGTGGCCCGCTTCGGTGTGTGAGGTCCGCTTCACATTCAGCTCATTTGGACATAAGAGTAGCTCTAAGCAAAAAAGAAATTTTGTGTCAAAATAGTACCTACAGTAAACTGCTCACAGACCCCATTTTTTTCCTTTTTAATAAGTGCTACTCAGATATCGAAATGAGCTGAAATTTGGAGCGAACATCACACACCGAAGCATCTTCTACGCAAAAAAGACAGAATTTTGTGTATTTTTCTATTATTTTTTAAATTTACCATTCATGGCGAGAGGAGATGAGCTCGGGAGCAAAATAACTGCACTCCCTAATAGGTCCCTAAGAAAAGAAATACTCTTCCGTTCCATAATGTAGTGCATTTAGATTTTTCAAAAAGTCAAACCTCACAAAATTTGATCAAGTTTGTGGAGAAAACATTTACATCTAGAATGCCACATATATAGCATTAGATTCATCTTAAGACATAGTTTCATATTTTACGTATCTGGTATAAATAGTTTTCTCTATAAACTTGGTCAGTTTTTGCTAAGTTTGACTTCTCAAAATATTATGCTCACTACATTATGGAATAAAGGGAGTATCCAAATTTTCTTGTGCCAAACCTATGCGATTGTGAAATTTTTATGTCCAACAGCCTGATAAGTGGAGTGGTGCCCAGCCGGATATCCTCCCAGAATATAACCTGAGAACCATCCCTAACGGATAATGCGCTAAACTAGAAATTCCTTGGCTTTCATCACCCTAAACAAAAAAAAGTGAATCAACGAGGTTTTCAATGGATTTGAGAAATGGTTTTTGAACCCACGGACATTTTTAGGCGGGCATAACATATTTCACCTAGGTAGCCGATATTTTTTTTGATCCATTATCACACTGCTAGAAAAATCAAGATCAAGTAGTTCAACATCTGCACGACTCATTTAGGTAAGCGGAAGAATGACAACATGTATAAATCTATATTGCTTAGGACGGAATTTATCAAGAACAATCGCCCTCATGAGACGAGAGTTTGGGCTGTCAACTGGCTAGAAGTTTGTTAAGTCTCTCTTCCAATGTTTTCACTTAGTGAAAGTTGGACGCCAATAGTCAATCAAAGTATCTAGGTACCGGAACTGCTGTGCGAACGACACAACATGCACGACAGCGGGACGATGCCTGATCCAGCCGTCGGTGGCACTTGACTGCTATACGTAGACGGACCGATATACGCTGTCGTCCACAGATCGTTTGAACATCATCATGTGCATAGCAGCACTCTCTAGGTACCAAACTGGAAACTTCCTGAGCCGGCAGCCGAAAATGTCAGCATACTCACTCAGATGCCGATTGAGTGGCCTCACCGAAGCAGAAAGACCCACTGAAAAGTAACTCTAAGACCAGAAAGCTCCTCATAGGCACATAATTTTGATATTTAGGTTTTTTTGCCTTAATTTCAAGGATTGCTAGCTGAACTCAAATTCGTAAGAAACTGAAACCAAGACTTTAGAAAAAAACTGTGAAAAATCTGAAGCCAAAACAAAAATGACGAGGTATCCAGTCCACGCGATTGACCAGCTAGCTAGCCAGCAGATGTATACTTGAATATCTGCAGGAAATCTCAGACCGTACTGTCATCAACCGACTAGTAGTTTTTTCCTGCCTTTTTTCTCTTGTTTTTCCCTGCCGAGAATATCTCTTAGCAGAAACGGCCGTACCCCTCTTCGTTTGCTCTTGTTTTTCGTTGCTGAGAATATGTTTTTCTCCTTTTTCTCCTCTTCTCCGGGCGCGGTGTCGACTGCTGCGGCTTGTGCGTGCGTAGCGTACGTCAACCACGAAGTGACGATACAATATCTGATCGGATTCTC